AATTTTAGTTTTACATAATGTCAGCAGAAATTACTTAAGTGACTTATCAATTAATATATATATATATATATATATATATGTTTATTATTTTTTCTAAGATAGATATGTTTCTTTTCTCCTTTTTTGTTTTGTTTAAAAGATATGTTTCTTTAAATGAAACTGAAAAATGGGTTCGTAAGATGGGTTTTATGTACATTAAATAGTCGTCTAATATACCAGAGACCAACTATGTATTTATATTAATTTGTAGAAAAAGATCATAATTGGTGATCTTTAAAAAAAGGAGAAAATCTTATCAACTACCTTAGTTTATAGATATAATAACTATTAATTACTTATGTATTTTTAACACGTGTCACAATCTAAAATATATAGCCGCCACGTGTCGCGATCTTGTTAATTAGTAACTTTGAAAACCAAGCTTTATATAATAAGAAAAAAAATATTGTAAAATTTTAAATTATTATTTTTACGTTTAATATTTTTTACAGGATAATTACTATTTTTTAATTATGTTTTCTTATTATTTGATATAAGAAAAATCAGTGTAAAATTTTAACTAAATAATTACTTTTTTTCTTTGACATTTTTAGGTTTATTTACTAATTTCTAACAGTTATCTTTTTTTTTTGAGATAAGAAAATTCTATTTTAAATTTAAAAGGATAATAACTATTAATTACTTATGTATTTTTAACACGTGTCACAATCTAAAATATATAGTCGCCACGTGTCGCGATCTTGTTAATTAGTAACTTTGAAAACCAAGCTTTATATAATAAGATACTTGTTACTTGTTAGAATATTTTTAAAAATATGGAATATTTTAAAAAATATGGAATATTTTAAAAAATATGGAATATTTTTTTCTAATCTAATTAAAAGAATATGTTTTGTTTGGTTGTTAATCATAAAATTAATTTAAAATATTAATTTACTGTCATCAACTTAACATACTCGATAAATACTTTGTAAACTTTAAATATTTACTAGATTTTGATCCGCGCGGATGTTTGTTTTCGTTTATAGTTAATTATACAAACATTTTGTATTCACTTGTAAATTGGTATATATTATAATAATCACATATTTACGATATGTATAGTAAATGTTTTTCAAACATAATAATCTTATATAATACGTGTTTTAATTAAATAGATTGTTTCAAATTTTCTATATTATACATGTTTTTCAAACATGTGTTTGTTTCTTCTTCTATATTTTATTATTTGTTAGATTAGTATTTCATTTTTAGATAAAGTAATATAAATAAAGCTTGATTAAATATTATTATACTTTAATTTGCAAAGATAATATAAACTTTGAAGAAATTTTTGCTAAAAACTAAACTTATAGCTTCATAAATTAATATTATACAGAATTTTATTAAAAAAGAAGTTTTTAAAAAATTTCTTTTTTTTAAAAAAACAATATAATTTTAAAAATTTACATCGAAATAAATATATCTAGTATATATAGCGTGTAAATTTTGTTAGGGTATATAAATATGCCATATTACGAATTTGTGATTTTTGTTAATATATTGTGGATGCATTTAACTATAATTGACATATTTCCTTATAAATAATAGAAGATTCCTAAACTTATATCTATTGATATATTTTGCGTGACTAAGTTGGAAGGTATGGGGTAATTTACCCAAACCAAATTTTTAAGTATATCTTTGTTATTATAGATATGATTTTTCATTAGATATAATAATCTCTATAATATTATTTGAGAAGTCACTTTCTTATGTGTCGCGTTCACATTAACTCTCACGCTGGTTGATTACTATGATACCCTTAATAAATTTTAAAAATACATTTAAATATTATTATTTCCTTTTAAAAATTTTCCAAATAACAATATAAAATAAAAAGGACACATTTATAAAGTAAAAATCTATTTAAAAACGAAAATATAAGTATATATAAATATGGTTTCATAAAAAAGGAAAATTCACAAAATAGTAATATTTAATTTAAATATATTTTAAGTAACATAAAATATACTTTTGAAGTAATAAAATACTTTATATCTATATATTCTTAGATGAAAAAAGTATTTGTATATATTGTGATTCCATAAAATATTCACACAACTAATCTTGATATTAGAAAAAGAAATATTTTTTTATTTAAAAAAAATAATTTTAAACAATAAATATATATATTTTCAAAGTAATTATTATTTTTGTATATATCTATTTACTTTATTAGATGATTAGATAAAATAATTAAGTAAGATAAACTAATGTATGTTTAATTGACAAAAACATTCACAATTAATATTCATGAAATATATTTTTTATTTTAGTATATTTATTTGACTATAATATCTTACAATTACAGCAAAAAAAATATAAATTCTATTTTACTTATATAATATAATTTTCAAAAACAATAATTTTTTACTGCACATTTTAACAGATATAAAAACAAAACTAAAAATAAATTTTAATAATAAACATTTTTTGATCAAATAACTATAGTTATTTTAAAACATCATAACACTATATAATTTAACAAAGTATATATATTATATTTTAATATTTAGATTTATATGTTTGCTTAATAATTCTTTGGATTTTTTTATTTTCTGTTTTTATGTTTGTGGAACTTAATATAACCATAATCAAAATACTTAAGCAAATCAGAATCTTTATTTTAAAATTATTTAAAATAAATTTTTGTTTACCATCCAATCAATCTAAATATTGTAAATATTGATATGTGTTCATAAGCTTCCAAAAATTTATTAGTTACGCATGTATGTAATTTAGAATCAGCCAATTTAGTTTCTATTTTTTTTCTTTCTAAACATAAAAAATCTTAAGTTATACATACTCTTAATAGATATACTTATATTTTTAAAATAACAACCGGCATAAATGCAAATAAGACGATTAATCAAAAATTTAATATATTGAGGATAAAAAAGATTATAGTTGAATTTAGAAAAATAGATAAAATCTAATATATCCAAAAGATAACTAAATCAACCGTAAAAACAATAAAACTGATGAAATATAACATATCTAAAATTATATATATAATTAAATTAATATAACATTATTAATACAAATTATACCTACAATATACCAAATTGATAACCAAACCGACTATAGATCCAAAAAATAATTAAACTGACAATAATATATCCAAAGTCATATGTATAATTATAATAATATAATATTTATTAATATAAATTATACATATAAATTGATTCAAAACTAAAATTAAATATAAATAAATTATTATAAAATTTTACTTTTATGAATATTCATACCTGTGCATGAGCACGGGAAAATCACCTAGTGATAAGATTATTAGAGAGTTGATGTAAAATAACTTTCTAGTAATAGTCCATTTTTTAAAAAAATTACACATGAAATCAAAGACTTCTGTTTTAATATATAAGATATACCTACAAATATTGTGCGTTTCACATTTGAGATTTTAATTGGTTTCCATTTAAAATTTGTATTTGATGTGAGTATATTGCTCCTCATGTTAATTCTTATACATGGTCATCTTTTTCAGATGCAGTATGGGATGCGACGACAGGGAATTTCAGGATTGGGTGGGACCTCCGTGACTCTACAAGCTCTCCGACTAAGAGTTCTTGCTGGCGTTTCGTTCTTTTAGCTCTGGTGGCTGAAGCGTTGACAGTGAAAGCAATTATTACGGCTGCTATCTCTTCACATGTCAGTAGTATCATCGTTTACCCTGACTCAAAGAACCTTATCTCACTCTTGAAGCTTCAGGGATATGATGTGGTTTTGAAAGGCGTTCTCCATGATATCACAGTCCTGGCTCGCTCTTTCACCTCTATCTCTTTTCGTTTTATTCAATGTTTAGCAAATGTACAAGCTAACTCTCTCGCTAAAGCAGTTTTATATATCTTCAATTCATGTTTCTTTTTCTGAAGTTGTATGAACCTTGGTTTGATTTAATCTATGTCTGTTTTGCTCAAAAATGGAAGAAGTTGTGCCAACCATGGGCTTAATATTTTTTATATATTTTGGATAGTCATATTCATAATGCTTCTAGTGTTTCTTGATCTTATAAATATTTTCTTTTGTATTTGGGTCGTTATGTTTCAACAACTGGGTCTTGAATAGTAGGGATAGGAAAACAACGTAACTAAAAACCTAGCAAACTGATAGTTAATGCGGAACCAATTTTTTGGAAATCCTTATATAGATCTCATTTACGGATAGTCAATATACGCTCCCAATATATTTTTTATTGCTTTATAAATGTGGGTTATCTCAGATCTAAGGAAAAAATTAAACTAATCTTCGAATAAACGTGTATCTTCAGATATTTAAATGAACTATAAGAAATAGACTCATATATGTATGGCCAAGTGATGGAATATAGTGGAATATCTTCGAATCTGGATTGTTTATAAATTTTAACTTTGTCTAGCATTAGACCACCATCATGCTCACTTGAACTATTTACGAAGACTAATATTTATAATTTATATCTCAAATATACATACTAAAATATCTTAACTAATGATTCCAAATTCACAATAAGAACAATTCTGAACAAATAAAAGGAAATCTGCTAGTCGAAATATAACACAACACGTTGCTTACTGAAGTTAGAGTAAAACATGTGTTCTTATCTTCTACCGTTCTACGTGTCACTGCATGTGTTAATTATGTTTACATTTTGATTAATTAAATAGTAGGTAAATCAAAGTATGTATTTAGGCAACAATCTCTTTATTGCATTCCCTTTTCGTAAATTGACTGTGTACACAGGTATAGATTCGTAAGACAGTTGGCATAATAAAACTGAACACAATAATGATTTATGATATATACATTGACCCAAAAGTGTTGAATAAGCAAAATATTGACCACAAAAGTTGGAGTATCTCTTTCCATAAGCTGACAGATACACGGCACATACGTCCTTATAAATAGCACCACCATAGTCCATACGGTTTTCATACACGTTATTTATAATAGCAGCAACATACATGGAGAAGATGGTTGGATTTGAAAACTTGAAGCTTTCCGGCTGTGATGCAACCAACGCGGTCATCAATCTCGATCAGTATGTGTTAGTTTTACCCAAAAATTGGCTAAGTTCGTTTTAATTCCAAGTAACAAATATGCATGATTGCTTTTTTTTTTGAATGAAGTTAAATTAATTATTGGCTAATGACTTTTCGGTAAATTTTTTATATGAATAATAAGTTTGGAAAGTGGAAACTCAAACATCTTGACTTCTGTCATCAATTTTGATTTGGCCATACACAGATTTGCATTACACAACCTAAATTAAAGTCTGGATTATTTCAAACGTTACTTTTTCTTTTGTTTATAGTATCTGTTTTTGACACTATCGTCTATCAAATTTTGTTGCAAAACCCTAATTAAGCGTTGTAAATTTCATATTTGAAAAACAATACACTACTATGTATAACATGTAAATGTCAATGACGCAGATACAAAACTAAAAAGAATCCATAATTAATGAATAAATTAAAAAAAAAAAAGATAAATTTGCTTGTATTAATCTTTCCCAGGGGAGATCCGACTGCATTCCAAGAGTACTGGATGAAGATGAGGGAGAGGTGTACGGTGGTGATACCAGGATGGGAACTGATGAGCTACTTTAGCGATACAACGAACGTGTGTTGGTTCCTAGAGCCAGATCTTGCTGAGGCGATCAAGGCTTTGCACCGTGAGATCGGTAACGCAGAGACTGAGGAACGCTACATCGTGGTGGGTACTGGCTCCTCGCAGCTTTGTCAGGCCGCCTTGTATGCACTTTCTTCTCTCTCTGAGGTCAGGCCTTTGAGCATTGTCGCCGCGGTTCCTTACTACTCCGTAAGCCCCTCATTCACTGAATAGATATAAAACAACATTATTTATAGCATTAAATATTCATATAATGGCACTTAGCTTATAGAAAAATTTAATTGTCAACAGAATGATTGAATCATCACTTTTTAGTACTATGGTTGTAGCATAGTTGATCACAAAATGTGCAGATTGAAATCCATAACCTACATTAATTTCTAGGTACAAAACATGTTGTGATGGCCTGAAAATATAGGTTCCATGAGCAAACAACACATGAAACATCCCAAGGATAAAACATGAATTGAACTTTAAATGTTACATTCCTATTCTTTAAAATCGTTGAATGTTTTGTAATATGTTTTGTTACAGACATACGTGGAGGAGGCATCGTATGTTCAATCGCAGCTGTACAAGTGGGAAGGAGACGCAAGAACGTTCAACAAAACCGGACCGTACATCGAGATGGTGACATCACCGAACAATCCTGATGGGACCATCAGGGAGCCGGTGGTGAACCGTGGTGGGAAAGTGATACACGACTTTGCATATTACTGGCCACACTACACTCCCATCATTCGCCGTCAAGACCACGACCTTATGCTCTTCACCTTCTCTAAGATCGCCGGTCACGCTGGGTCCCGCATCGGGTGAGTCAAACTAACCACTGTACATAGTTTAAAATCATTTAAGTTACTTGACCTTGAATTCTTGTCAATATATATATATATATATATTGTGAGAGTTTGATAAAGGTATAACTTGCTCCGCTTTGGTTGTTCATTTATAAGTGAGGTTTAATCACTGAAACGAGGCACATTTGGTCTTTATATTATATATGCAATTCGTTACATGCATGATTATTGAAATTGTTTACTTTTCTTTTGAGGGAAGGTGGGCGTTGGTGAAGGACATAGAGGTGGCTAAGAAGATGGTGCAGTACCTAACAATCAACTCAATTGGTGTGTCTAAGGAGTCACAGATTCGAGCCACGACGATCCTCAATGAACTCACCAAAACTTGTCGCATCAAATCGGAGAGCTTCTTTGAGTATGGTAACGAGAAGATGAAGTCAAGGTGGGAGAGACTGCGCTGGATCATAGATAACACCGGTGACACATTCACTCTGCCTAATTACCCTCAAGCCTTTTGCAACTTCTTTGGCAAAAGCAGCTCCACTTATCCTGGTATTAAACCATAAACCATTTTGTGTGTGTGTTGAATATGTAACTGTCTTGGTCGTCCACTAACGGTTTTGGATATACTTAAATGGTTGTTGCAGCGTTTGCATGGCTGGGGTGTAAAGAAGACAAGGATCTCCAAAGTCTCTTGAAGGAAAATAATGTTTTGACAAGAGGAGGAGACCGATGTGGCAGTGATAAGAAGTACGTACGCGTCAGCATGCTTAGCCCCAACAAAGACTTTGACGAGTTTCTCCACAGACTTCTCATCATCAAGGATCGTAACTGCTTTGAGACTTAAGTTATTGTTTTTTTCTTTCATATGACATTTCAATAATGGGTTTCTTTTCGTAATGTTGAGCACAATTAATGGTTTTGTGATGTTTTCCTTTCTTCTCAATCTATCTATAAATTTAAAGAGAAAATAGCATAAAATACCTTCAAAGTGACACTCACTAGCACTTTAAACCTTGAACTTATTTAGCTAGCATCTTAAACATTCAACTTGGTTTTTGTATCACAAAAAAACCTTCAACTTAGCTTACTTGTTCATCAAGTTAAAATTGTCACTTGTTAACCTACAATAGTAAGCCACATGTTGATTTCTTATTTTATTTAATTAATAAATGCAATTAACAATAAAAAACCTAAAAAAATTACCGAAAATTACAAAAAAAAATTCTAAAATTGAACTTATAAAAAATCAAAATATTTTTTTAAAATTTCAAAGTTTTAAATTTGAAAATTTGCAAACAAATTATTTAAAAAAAAATCATATAAAAGCTATGAAATTTTCTCACAAAATATAAATAATTTTAAACATTATCACCATTAACTTGAACACTCTTTGTCATATCATTAGTAAGAATAACATATTTGGTTATATCGATAATGACAATAGAGTCAAAATCATTGTTATTTGTATATAAAAAATTATCGTCATTAAAGATATCAATAAAATTAAACTTTTTAAAATTTAAAAAACATTATTATTAATTGTGATATGAGGAAAATTGTTTCTTTTACTGGTGGAATAACCTCATTATTTTTTTTAAATAAAATTTTAAAGATTTATAGAATTTTATAAACAAATATCATTCATATTTAAAAAATTCATTTAGAATAAAAAGAAACACTTGAAAATTCTTAAGAAAATATTTTGATTTTTTAAATTAAGATTTTTCAATTTTTCTGTATTTAAAAAAATATTTTTGCAAAACTTACATTTAAAAAAAAAATTAAGAAGATATTTTGATTTTTTATTAAATTCAATTTTAGAATTTTTTTCTGTAATTTTCTAATTTTAATTAGTTTTTTATTGTTAAATGTATTTATTAATTAAATAAAATAAAACAAATCAACATGTGACCTATTATTACAGGTCAACAAGTCATAATTTTAATTTGATGAACAAGTAAGCCAGGTTGAAGGTTTTTTGTGATACAAAAATTAAGTTGAATGTTGAATTTTCTAGCTAAATAAGTTCAAGGTTTAAAGTACTAGTGAGTGCCACTTTAAAGGTTTTTTATGCTATTTTCCTTAAATTTAAAGGTTTTTCTAATAACAATACCATTAAGAAGGGATCATTCCCTTTTATGAGTTTTGAGTTTTTTACGTTTTTCAAAATTATCCTTAATGATATGAACACATTTTTATTTTTATTAATAGTAATATTTTTTTTGGTTTTTGGGCCTAAAAACAATATAATAATGAGTTTCAATAATGGACTAATTGTTTATAAAGTTTCTTTCAAAAATAAACCCACCAGCCTTAATTGGCGTAGTTAGAGCTGAGAATTTTGATATTAGCCCGTGGGTGCCATGGAACAAGTCTACTAATTTGAAAATTTTAAATTGCGGGTGCTAGTACGGGTCAAGTGTATTTTATGCGAGATGAGTGCTGGTTGTTCTAATTTCAATTGTGGGTACCCGGTAATCCGCAAAATAGATTTTCTTAAGTTTATTTTTCAAAAGTATACTAAATTTTGTTAAAAATAATTATATTTTTAAATAGTAAAAATTTAATTAAAATATGTTATTTAATATTTTTTTTACAAATCAAAAATAATTATTTTTATTATTTAATAATTATTTGTGGGTCTCACAGTTAACTGCAAAATTAAGTGGGACGGATACGGATAAAATATATTTTCTTTGCGGGTTAGGCGGGGCGAGTTGACCCGTTTCCCAGCACCAAACGTAGTTAATTGATATTATTTTTTCAAAATAAAACTACACAATTACATACAATACATTTACATAGATATTGATGACAACAATGTATTAAAATCGCATTAGTTTTTTATTTTTTTATTAGATAATGATATTTTATATCATTAAAACAAAAGACTTCGTAGATAAAATAAAAAAAATGGTACGACTTTGGAAAAACATCTTTCTATTTGGAAAAGTAATTTGAACGAATTCAATAACGGTACTTAACAAGACCGAAAGTGTATTATTTAATGTGTTAGCAATGAGAGGAATAGAACCGTAAATCACATGGTGAATCTCCGCTTTACAACCAGTGGCGGAGAGAGAAAATCAATTTACATCAGTGTTTTGAAATCCGACCCGAACCCGCGGTTGAACCGGTAAACCCGGTGACCCAAAATAAATCCGGTTCGGGTTTTGTTAAAAACCCAAAATTTAAAAACCCGCAAAAATCCGAAAAACCCCGCTAAAACCCAAAACCCGATGCCGGTTGAACCACTGGTTGAACCAATAAATAATATTTTACTTTTTTTTTAGTTTTAAATTATGTTTTAATTCTGTTTTATATTCTAAATTTCTAATTTAAAAGTTAGGTTTTCACGTTTTAGTTATTGGCATTGACGTCTTCTTCCTTAAATTTAGATTAAACTTTCCGACTTTTTATCATACATAATATCTATTACACTATTTTATCTGGGATTTTTAAATTTTGATGAAGATTTCACTATACCATCTGAAAAAAATGAACTGAAGGGTGGTAGCGAGAACCAAAATTAGTTGATGTGATTTGGTGTTAGTTTCTTTTTGTTATTGTTAATTTATTACAATGATGTTTTACTTTTGGTTTATTTTGGATTTGAAGTTTAATTTATTATTCTCATTAAACATTTAAATATTTATTTTTCTAGATGTCATTACTCTTAACTTGTTATAAAAAAAAAAATTATCTAAACTAATTTTTGATATTTTGTATATTTTATACATTTTATGTTTTAAAAAAATTTAGAAAATTTAGCTTCTATATTTTTATTTTCATAGCTAATATATTATTATATAATAAAGTTTCATTTATCAACCCGCGGGTGAACCGCGGTCGACCCAATGACCCAATGACCTGGTAAGTCGTCCGGTTGAGTGTCTGGGTCGGGTTTAAAAACATTGATTTACATAGATCAAACTGATAGCACTTATATTTTACAAGGGTCATCAAATTTAATCTTTTAGATTTTTATGCCAGAACTACATGTAATATTATTTGTTCACGAAATTTCAAATTAGTCATTTGACCCACATGCTACTGCCCTAGCTACGCTACTGCTGACAACTATAAAATGTTTACATAGTTTATAATTAGAGTATTTGTACTCTGTATACAAGGATTATATGGAAATTAGGTAAATACACATGCAGCATTTTTTTAGGTTATGTCGAAATATTTATGACTATTTTACCCCTACTTCATATAAGATTCTAACCTATTCAATATTTTCAATTTTACAAAAAAAAAGATTAATATATCGATATCTTCTCTCTCTTCATTCTCTCCTCCCCCTTCTCTCTACTTTTCAACCTCTGTTTGGCAATCCTGAGAGATGTATCTGTTTAAGGAGGTTTTTTTCTTAATCTTGTCGTCTTCTCGATGGATCTACTGCATGTGGCTCCTGATCATCTTTATCGTGTAGATCTAATCTTAGATCTGGCAGCAGTTTGGGATAAGAACAATTATTTTGGTTTGTGTTTTTTAGAGAATGGGATAAAGCCACCTCCACTCCATCGAATCATCTCCATCGCTTCCATGGCCACCGCTTTACACAGTTCGGGTGGGCCCTCCAACACAAGAGAACGAAAGAGGAGTCTGCTGAAATTTGAAGAATCTGTCAACGGCTGCCGCTTTACAACGGTGGTGGTAGAGCTTCTGTCGATTAGCAAATTAGGTTTGATTATCTTTGGCCTGGGTTTTAAAATTTGTAGCTGGTGGGTTAGTTTCTCAAGTTTACCATGTAATGGTTCATTGGACCTTTTCCTTAATGGAAATTAAGTTGACAAAAAAAAATTAGCTTGACACTAGCTTAACTTGTTAAGAATATTTATCATGATAATCATACAATTGAAGATTTCCTACAAATTTATTCGATTCAACAAAAATATTAGCTAGCTATAATCTTACCCATGTATCTGAATTATGTTAAGATTCATTTTAAAATGTTAACATATTTAATAACATTTAACAATGTGCTCATTTAATTATGTGTATGCTTGAATTAACCTCTTAGTTTTATTGTTAGCCTGTTAATTTTTTTTTTTTGAATTGAATGTTAAATTTAATTCAAAAGAAAAAGACCTGTTTTTACAACAAATGTAACTTTATGCTAAAAAAAACTTAAACTCACCAAACCAAACAACTACAACCATGAAGAAAGAAAACCCAACACAAAATTATCCCTAACACTCCCCCTCAAGCTCAACCATGTGGAACAAGTCAAGCTTGGAAGGGTCATGACATTCTCCTCATTAAAACCTCATTAAGAAAACCCAAATGGGACAAAACTTAATGAGGAAAGAGTAAGAAGTCATGAACCAGGAGAGTGTATGGATAAGCAAATCATATTACTACTTATTCATATTTTATTTCTGTTTCGAATGAATCCTTGAGATATATTCTGAGATGTCTAACATTTTCTTATTGATAGCTAATATTAATTTTAGCTGAGATTTGAAATATTTATCCGGATATCAACATATTTTTCGTATTTGTGTTCGATTTATTAAAATTATATTTAATAGTAAAACGTAAAATTTTAGTAAGTTACATACTACCATGTACTACCACATGTAAATATTACAATATCAATGTAAATATGAAATTAGACGGCTACATTTGTCATTAGCCACTACCATCATTTAGGCCATCTTTGTATATGATATCATCAATGACAACTACATATTGAAATCGGCTAATATTATTCAATGTGGTTAACATGCTCGGCATAACCCCATTACTGTCCTTAAACTCTTTTAGCCGATTTTAGTATGTAGTTGTCATTGATGATATCATATACCAAATTTATAATATCTTAAAAAAAAATCC